TTTAATCCTCTCAGCTCACAGATGATCAAACTTATTCAGGGCCATTCAGCAAATAGAGGACAAACATGCATATCAGGGTCCAGAAAAAGGACTATCTGCCAGCATTCTCTCCCTTACCTCTGTGCCTTTTGTACATGGATTTTCTGTTTAGACTCTCCCACTATCCTCAGTCCTATCCACCTGCTGAATTCCTATTGGTCCCCCAAGATTCAAGGGTAACCTCCTTCATGACCCCCTCTCAGGTTTCCTCTTCCCTTTCTTCTGCCTGGATGGAGTACCTGTGCCATGGGCTTCATCACTCCCTGTGCCTCTCTTGATTCCCTCACTGCTTTTGCTGAATGGTAATTGTCATCTGGCTCTGCTTTCTCCTTTACCAGGATGCAGTTTCCTCCAGATCATGGTAGGATATGGGTCTGGTGTTGAGATTCCCAGCATTTAGCACAGTGCATGGTACATGGTATGTATACAACAAATATTTATTGAACACTGAGCAAATGACCCATTTCTCTGATTTGGTCAAAGGCCTCATGAATGATGTCACCTGCCTTAACTGGGGGTGGGGGGGAGAGAGACACTATTCTCATCATGTGCAATGCAATGTAGGACATCCTTTTCTCAGCTTTTTTGTGAACTCATTGTTTCTCACCAGGTTTACAAAGGGACAGTAGTTAACAATAATCAGAGAATGGACACTTCTCAGACACTGAGGTATATGTTCACCCATACTACTTCTTATCTTCACAACATTGCCATGTTGACACCATTCCCTTTTTATAATGAAGCTCAAAATCAGTTATCTTAAGTAATTTGGCTACAGTCATATGGAAAGAAGGCTTTGTATTAAAAGCATGCACAAAGTGCTCCATCATGTACAGTCATCCCTTACCTCCAGAGATTCATTGGCATTTGTGAAAATTACTTACAGACCCAAAATAAACAACAACAAAAACAAAAAAAACCCAAGTTAATCTGGATTCTGAAATAGTGAAATCATGGTCAACTAGGATTTACAGGGGGTTCCACGGCACTCTTACAACATGCATTGTCCAAGGCAAATCATGCCTATAATCTTAATTTTCTTATCATATAGGTAAAACTGTAATACCTACTTAACTCGAAGGGAATTGTGTACCAAATCATGTCTGTCAAAATGCTTGTCAAAGAGGAGAAAAGATGCACAATTTGGAGCACTGTGCTGGATAGTTTGGTGCAGTATTTCTCAAATAACAGAGAGAAGATCTTGAGCAACAGAACTACTTGAGGTGTTAAGGGTAGATGGGAAAGCCAGGCTAAGAATCCACATTAAGTCCTCAAGTGACTCTTTGAACACTAAACTTGAGAAATATCTTGTGAAAATGGCAACATTTTCACATGGGAATCTTATTAAAATGCAGATTTGAATTCAGTGGGTCTGAAGGGAAGGGTTGAACAGACCAAGATTCTGCATTTTTAATATGCTCCCAGAGAAAGCTTGCTGCTGATCCACAAACCATATGAGGAGCAGGGGCTTGGGAGATCTATCCCCACAGGAACAAATACGTTTTGCTTTGTTCTTGGGCCATAGATTGCATCCATCAACTTCAGAGAGTATTTTATATAAAGCCCAGGCTCTCAGTATTGTTACAAAACCACCTGGACTACTCAAAACCAAATTGTAACATATTCTCTATCACAGTTAAAGTAGTAGCATCCCTTTCAGATACAGATAGCACATGTGTTTTGCTATGAAAGAATAATTCATTGCTATTATTTGAGTCTTTTACTATGCAAAGTGTTTTATATATATACATATATATACATGTTATATACATATACAGTATTTTATATATATATAGCATATATTGTATATGTGTGTATATACACATATATACACACATATAATGCCTAATAGTCACCATAATTCCAAAAGGTGTATATTCTTGTTCTATAGATAAGAATATAGTGATTTGGAGAGTGTAAGTAACTTGCTGAAACCCACATGGCTAGTTAGATGCTGTAACTGAGGTTCCAATCCTGCTCCACTTGGCACACAAAGACTGTATGTTCTCTGTACTACTTCATGGTGCTAGATAAGACTAAAATATAAAAACATAATTGCTTGAGAGTCTAGAAAATATGGAGGGAAAATGTTTCTCCTCTATCAGTTGTTGGGTTTAAGGCTCAGCTAAGGCAGATTCTGTATGGAGGTGAGGTAGGGATAAGGCTCATTAATTAGTAATGTTACCAAAACATTTCAATACCATCCTTGACCACAGGTCCTCTACATCTAGTATTGCAGATGGAATTAAAAGGATAATAGTGACCAATAAGGTTATAATAAGTGCTATTACATACTCTCAGGCTTCTAGCTTCCAAGTTCAACCATGATAAAGGAAAAATTCTTCCTGATTCTTGTTTATCAACTTCCCCACCCTCTCTTATATAAAAGATTTCTGTAATCCTAGAGTTCACACCAAACCCAGGTTTGCACTACCTCCTATCACAGTTGATACACCTGTCTACTTCTGATAAAACTGCTTACATTTGAAAGATTTTCTATTTAGTCAAATATCTTGAAAATGCAGCAATGTTGGAGGGTGTTTTTAGAGTAACAAAATTTTCTGCTATTTCCCATAAGGTTGTTGTGGAGAGAGAGGCACAGCAATAAAGATGCTCAGAGAACACAGTCAGTACTCAAGTGTATGGAAAAGACAGAAAATATCTATCAAATAAACCACTCAGGCAATTACCAACCAGTGTATTTAGCATTCAACAATCTTTGGGCAGAAGAGCTAGGGTGAATCTTTTAACCTCTGGTCTCTCCTCTACTACAATTAGCATTCTGGAGTTTAACTGCTGTTTCCTAAAGATCCACCATTAATAACAAAACAACTGTTTGCCTATGTAGTACAAAAAGATACAATTACAAAGCAACATCTCCTGCAATTTAAAAAAAAAGTATTTGTCTAAAAGCAAACAGTGATATTTGAACTATTAAGGATTTTGTCCTATTGTATTCTCTACAAAGCATGTTTCAAAAATAAAGACTAAAATCCTTGGTTTGAAAACTTATTAAAAAGCAATTTTAGAATGAGTGTGCATGTGTGTGTGTGTGTGTGTGTGTGTGTGTGTGTGAGAGAGAGAGAGAGAGAGAGAGAGAGAGAGAATGTGTGTTAAACAGAAGGTAAGAAATTTGAGTCTTGGGGCATTCATTTCAAACTAATAAGCATTTGCAACTTCACTCCTCACCTCTACAAACAGTTCAGATTTCAGATCTAAACCAAAGGGCCACAGAAAACAATGTGAGATTTTTTTTTTTTTTTTCTGGAGAGGCTTTGCTTAAGTGTACATACGTGGACATGTTTGCAATGAGTCATAATTTATAGGGCCTAAATGGCCAATTAATGCCATATGACTTTCTTCCTCCATTCTGCATCATTGTCAAACCAGTTGGTGATGTATTTTTCCAGGGCCTGATAATTTTATACAGTTACCAGATCTCAGTTACTAAGGCTGCCACTCAGGTCCATGGACAAAACGCTTTCTTTGGTGCTGATTTTTAAAATGCTATCTAAAAGCACAGAACATGATTCTCTTTCTAAACCTTAATTTTCCCCAACCACAGTTAATACCTTTCGCCAGCCTATGGACACCGTACTTTAAAGACCCCCAAAGAGAAGTTGAGGGGCTTTGGGGCACTCCAAGTAGACAGTGGGAAAGGTTTATGAAGAGCTGCTTTAGGGAAAGGCAGACATAACAGGATGTGTTCCTTTCTAGAGGAAGCAGGAGCTGTAATTGCCGCGGGGCAGGAAAGGCGGAGTCAGCAGCACCCAAAGGAAACCGGCGCGCTAGCGTTTGCAGGAACTTGGCCTGATCAGGGACGCTTGCCCCTGACTGGTACAAGACTGGCAAGCACCTCGCCCGCTAGGAACCAGGCTCAGGCCTCCTGGTACTAGTGGTTATAAAAAGGTACCCATCTGCTACCCCTGCCAAAGACTGGCAATAGGGCGAAGAGATAAAGCAAACATCTGGCACCAAGGCAGGTGAACTTGTCAACAAGTCAGCCCTGGAAGCAAGTCCCTGCCCAGAAAGGACCTTGGGATCCTTGGGCCGAAGTCTCTCGGATGGCTAGGCTCGGCACGGGAGGGTGAGGTGGACTGAGGCGGGTGCGGGTGCAGGTGCTCCTAGAGCCGGGCCAGTGCGAGATGGGGCCGGAGCGCTCCGGCTCTCCGGGGGCTGACGCACGCTCTCAGGGTGCGCGCATCCTCCACACCTTCCCAGGCCAGCGGGAGCAGGCGGGGGAGGGGAAGGAGCTCATGCGGTTCCCACAAGGAGATCAGGGGCCGCAGGAGTGACCCGCCTGTCACCCGCCGCCCGCAGAGGCCAGAGGAGGCAACCCCGGCTGGCGCCCCCGATCACCCCGGGTGCCCGGCGTTTCCCGCTGCAGCATGCAGCCCGCCCGGCGCGCCCCCGCCTCGGCCCCGGAGGGCAGGTACCTCGGAGCCCTGGCCCCCAGGAGCCTCCCGGCCGCGATCGGAGTGTCCCTCTAGATCCCACATCCGACGTCAGCGTCAGCAGAAGGCGAGGGAAGGGGCGGGGGAGCGCAGGAACCGGCCCTTCCTGCAGCGGCGACCGCCAGCCGGAATAGCAGCCGGCGGAGCCCGTGTGCGCGCCGCAGCGCAGCGCAGCGGCCGGGGGGAGCCGGCGCCCTCCCTTCTCCGCCCGCCGCCACGGCCCCTCCACTCCTCCCCTTTTGGGGACCGCAAGACCCCGGGACCTGGTGTATGAAGGGCGCGATGGTCTCACCTTGTTTGGGGTGGGTCGGGGGTTAGGGGAGTAAATCTCCCTCTTTTTACTCCCTGGGGTCTTTCCTTGACCCCCCATCTCCTGGGGTATCCCCCCTGCTCGGATCTGCTGTCCTGGGTGTCACCGCCTCTGCTCTCCCGCAGGTGTTCCACGTGTCCATAGCATTTGCGTCACAATGACCTGGCTACAGGTGGGAGCTAAGCGGACGAACGCCCTAGGGTTCTCCCCGTGTGGTGTGTAGTGCGTGGGACTTGCTTCTACATTAGATTTCGGTGGTTTTAGGGGACAGGAGATTTCATGACTTCGGTGTCAAGAAAGTTAGAGGCCTGAACCTGGAAACCAAGTTTGGGCTTAAAGGGAAAAGGTCGTGTTCAAAAATTACTGTGTATGTATACATATTTTTAAATTATCTATATATCCTATTTATTTTATACTTATTATTTACACTTATGGACTTCTTCTCTTATCCTTTGTCATATGGAAAGAACCAAATAATTTTTTCTGAAATACTTTACAGATCTAAGGAAGAAAAAGTTTTGGAACAGGTGTTTCTTAACATCTGTGCTGAAATGAAATCCCAATGACCATCCGGGTTATATTATGTATTTTTTAATAAGTTTATTGAACAGTCACTGATGGAAACAATTTAGGAGGATGGAATAATACATAGGTATTGGGAAAATGATGCAAACAAATTCGAAATCCACAGCTAATATGAGGTGCTGCTCCCTGTGTGCCAGGAATATGTTGTATAGTTTACATTTAATCCTTAGAGCAACCAAATATTGAGGGTAACGTTATTGTCCCATTTTACAGATGAAGATACTTCCCAGAATGCTGTAGAGTATCAATAAGGGTTTTAACCTACTTAATCTCAAGATAGAATGGAGTTGAAAAAGAAGGAGATTATTATTTTTTAACCGAATGAAAGGCTTTTGCTAACATTGTGGGTACTCAATAAACGGATGAATATATCTACCAGTTAACTGAAGCATTGAGAAAGGAATAAGACTCCAGGAATGTCTTTTTCTCTTTTTTCAATTCTATAATGTTCTTTTTCCTACGAATACTGATTTGCCAGTCATATGAAAATGTATTAGAAACTCTATATATCAAAAGTTATCTCTGAGGCAGATATTTACATTTGTTATGAGAGAGTCAGTCCAATAGCAGATTGTTTGAACATGAAACATGTCCTTAAAATGCAGATAAAAATTGGAGCACAGACATTGAGGGAATCGAGAAAGGCTGCTGATTTATAAAATTACTTAGGTTTTTTAAAAATTTCAGTTGTAGTTGGACACAATACCTTTATTTTACTCATTTTTATGTGACGCTGAGGCTTGAACTCAGTGTCCTGCACATGCGAGGTGAGCACTCTATCACTGAGCTACTCCAGCCCCTATTTTGATTTTTTTTCCCCTTCTGAAGATCAGGGTAGAAATCTTGGCTGTGAGTCCAACAACCTGTCACAGATACTAAAAGTGGCTTCAAAGGTAAGATAAAAGTGAACAAATATGCAATACAAGCACTATCTAGTCAACAAGACACGGAATTTCCCTGAGTTCTCAGAGAATTTAAGAGAAAACTCCAAGTGACTTTTCATCAGTCTTAATCTTGTGCTAATACTTAGGAAAATATTGAGGAAGAAATAATAAAGTTTTGCTATTTTACTTTATCACAGTGAGTGCTTGTCTGTCCCTTAAAAAAATTCACTCCATCTACAACACTTGGTTTTTGGATATCAAATTGTTTCCATCTTACAGAGAACCCACAGGTTGCTAGTGAGAATCTAAACTAATTTCTAAGAATGGTCATTGAATAACATAAGCTGATATTAGGAAAGAAATAAAGTACAGTTTCCAGAGTGCAACAGGATGAGAAAGAAAGTTTCCCAATGGCGGGGGTTGGGGGGTAATCCTTACATGTTAGACTCAATAAATTTTCTTATGAGTGTCCCAATCCAAGATGTGCTAATAAGACTGCATGACTTAGGAATAGTAGTAGGCTACAATTAACAGACCCAGGATAGCAGTGGATTAAATGAGACAGAAATTTATTTTCTCTCACTTAAAAGAAATTGGAGGGTGGGCAGCCTAGCGCTGGTATGATCTCCACGATGGTGTCAGAGAGTTACCCTCCTTTCTCTCATTCTAGTCCACCATCCTTAGCAAAGCAATACTGTTTCAAGGTAAATCCAGGTGAAGATGTGGAGAAATCAGGACCCTCACACACTTCTGGTAAGAATGAAAATGGTTCATACCCTTCAGAAAACAGTTTGGCCCTTTCTCAAACCATTCAACATAGAATTGCCATGTGACCCAGCAGTTCTACTCCTAGATCTATACTCAAGAGAAATAAAAACCCAGGTCCATGTGAACATCTACAGCAGCAGCATTCAAAAATAGAAGGTTGAGACAATCCAGTTGACCATCAGTGGGCAAATGAATAAACAAAATGCAATATGATCATATAATAGAATGTTATTTGGCCACGAAAAGGAACAAAGTATTGATATATGCTGCAACTTTTATGAACTCTGAAAACTTTGTTGAGTGAAAGAAGTCATTCACAAAAGGCCATGTATTGTATTATTCCATTCATATGAAAGTCCAGAATAGGGAAATCTATAGAAACAGAAAGCACATTGGTGACCTTTTAGGGCTAGAATATGGGAGGGTATGGAATAAGAGCTGAAGGGTGTGGAGTTTCTTTTAGAGATAATGAACTGTTCTGAAATTAATTGCTGTGATGCATTCACATATGTGCAGACATACTAAAAACCACTGAATTGTGCCTTTTACAGTTAATTTTGAATTGTACAGTATATGAATCTTACCTCAGTAAAGATATTGAAAAAGAAGTTTAAATTTTTGTTTTCATAAATAGTTTTATTTGAACTCCACATACACAAAGTACATGCAATATCTTTCCCAGGAACAGATATAGGGTAAGAAACACACACATACAGAGCAAAATGTGAATTATTCACAGATCTAAGAATGTTGTATAAATTCTATTTACACTAAGAAGCTAAACATGAATAAATTGGACAAAAAGAAAAGGGACCACTGTTTATGGAAGAAAGAACTATCCCATGTTCATCCACTGGATACCTCTTGATGGTATAAAGAACTTCCTGTTACACAAATATTTTGAAAGTATCATCTAGTCTTATAGCATCTCAGTCTTCATAACTATTCCTGTTTTAATGAACGAAGAAGCAACCAAGCCTTTTAGAAATTAGACTTAATAACAAGAGAGTGAAATGATACTTTGCTGAGAGAAACTAGTATTGATGGAAGATACTCTTGGAGGTAAAACAAACACAACTAATTCCCTACTCTAACCCCAAATCCACACCTCCAATAAAAACCAAAAAAGAAATAAAAAAAAAAAACAAGATAAAAGTGAAAAAAAAATAATTCTGGCATCTAAGCTCCAAATTTCTACCTTAATTTTTAAAAAGAACATTAATTTACGCGTTATTTTACATGAACAATTTAGTCATAAAAACAGTTCACATAGAAAATTAGTTTCTCAGGAGAGACGTTTCATGGTCTTAAGAAATAATGCTGAATAATGCTTAGGCCCCTTAATGTTTGCCAAGTTATTTTCCCTCTTCACCCTCTTAGGTGATCTAAAATAGATTAGCAGTGTACTTCATTCTATGTGATTAGAACAGTGTCATGTTACTGTTATGTGGGAATATGGATCTGTAGGCCATCTTGATTACTGAATCAATAATTTAGCTCTTTAATATATGCATTTCGTAAATCTGTATAATCTTACCTCTGTTATTAATGTACAATCCCATCTCTTTTAGCGGGATTGTTGGTGATCTATTGTTAATGTTTTAAATGTTCCTTACACTCTCAGCCACCATGAGCAAGCAAGGCAGAATGTTCTCCTTGTCACTCACTAGCACATAAGGCAATACTCTGCCATTCAAAGTGTGAAATCCATTTACATCCGGACTCATCTCTGTCAGAATCATATGTACTCATTCTGCCTGGCTGTTATTGTTTAGATGGGAGGTGTCTCCCCAAAGCCCGTGTATGAGACAATGCTAGAAAGTTTAGAGGTGAAGTGATTGGGTTATGACAGCCTCAACCTGATAAGTAAATTAATCCCTTGATAGGGAATAACTGAGTGGTACCTGAAGTCAGTAGCGTGTGGCTGGAGGATGTGGGTCATTGGGAGCTTGCCTTTGGGGTATATTTTTGTATCCAGTGAGTTGAGTCTCTCCTTCTTTTTTTTCCTAATTGTCATGTCCTTCACCACACTCTTCTGCCATGATGTTCTGCCTTAACTCAGGCCCCAAAGAATGGAGTCAGCTGTCTGTTGACTAAGACCTCTGAAACCATGAACCTCAAATAAACTTTTTCTCCTCTGAAATTGTTCTTGTCAGGTCTTTTGGTCACAACAGCAAAAAAGCTGACTAAAACACTGGCGCATAGTAGGAGATGTTAAGATTGAGCTTAAATTATGGTTATTATCAATGTGTTTAGTAAGAGCTATACATATGACTCTCTCCAAAGCTCAGATCATTAATGAGAAAAAAAAGTCACTTTTAATTCAAAGTCTGAGAAACTAAAAGTAGATAATCTCATAATAATCATTTTGGAAAACGGATGTTTCAAAATTACTACTAAAATTATTGTCTGATTTCTATTGGTGTCTGAAATTTAAAGAAAATTAATCTTACATATAAAAGGATGCTGTTGGGACTGGATATACTTAAGAACATCGATTGAGCATCTTGGCCAAATTTGTTTTAGTTCTTGTGATCATTTGCACTCTCCATGTAGCAAAACAAGCTTTTTTTTAATACCCTCTATTGAGCTAGTTATATCTTTAAGAAAATTTGTATATATGAAAATAGAAAAAAATATTTAATTAGTAGCATTAACTTTTGTTAATTAAAATTAACTTCCTTTCTTCAAAATTAGGGCTGCAATGAAGAGAGGAGGCCTATTCCCACAGAGAGAAAGGTAATTATTTTTATTGCCACACTAGCTTGGATTTCTGCATAAATAATGTAGTTTTCCTCTCTTCCATCCCCAGTATCATGCAATGGAATTTCTCTAAGGAGAATGCTGGTGGTGGCATCAAAATGGGGCATCTTGCTCACTGCAGGTGGGGAATTTTGCCTGTCATGCACCGGTAGTGTAACTCAGCTGACTAGAAACTGTGCCAGGGTTGAACAAACCTTAGCCCAGAGTTCACAGCTATACCCTGGTCTTGGTAGACATATGGCTGATATTCTCACAAAGTCACAGTGTCCAGTAAAGAACACGACTTACTAAAAGCTTGGGATTGCATTCTCTAGGTTTTGGGGATCTTTCTTTCCCTCTTCACAGAGACAGTTAAGAAGAGTCACTAAGATATCAGGTACAGATGGTAAATGTGGTGCAGGTGAAGCCTCACCTGCACATTTAGTCAAATCATGGACTAAGGGGCTGAATTAAGACTGCAGTCCCTATTTCCTAATTCTTAAACTACAGTGTGTTTCCTCTTCTTGTTTTAACTCTTTTACAAACTTGCTTTGATAGAGGCTGTTAAAGCATTTCCTCAATAGTTATCCTCTCCTTTATTTAGAGCAGTAAAAGTTTAAGCTGAGCACATTGTTTCCCAGTTTAAAATTACCTATCTTAGTTTTCCTTGCTGTAAGCCGTGTCAATGTGACCTGGTTCTAGTCAATAGGATGTGACTGGAAGACATGCATGTAATTTTGGGGTTATGTCCTTTAAAGGAACACAGCCAAAACCATTGCCTCTTCCCTTTCCCACTGGGTCAATCACCTTTGACTATGCAAGTGGGAGAAATCCACCGGGAATGTCAAGGACTCTGGATTTCTGATCTCCTGAACTGCCATTCTGTTCAGATTGTTTTATCAGAAGAAAATTGGTTTGGTTTTCAAATGTGTCCCAAACGTCACCTGTTAAAGACTTGGCTATTGGAAGGTGGTGGAAACTTTTCGGGGTTGTGCCTAGTAGAAAGAAGTTAGGTCATGGGGACATGGTTTTAGAGGGTGTATTAGTCATATTTTCATTACTGTGACCAAAATATCCAACAAGGACAACTTAGAGGAGGAAAAGTTTATTTTAGCTCACAATTTCAGAGGTTTAATTCATGGTAGGCCAATTCCATTGCTCTGGGCCCAAGGTGGGGCAGAACATCATGGTAGGAAAGTGTCATCATGTCACCCCATGGCAACCAGGAAGGAGAGAGAGAGAGAGAGAGAGAAGTGGCAAAGGGGCCGCAGAGAAGATGCACTCTTCCAGGGTATTCCTCCAGTGACTTTCCTTCTCCAGTCACACTCTACCTGCCTGTAGTTATCACCCAGTCAGTCCATTCAATCAAGGTGGACTGATTAGGTTACTGCTTTCATAATATAATCATTTTATTTGGGATATTCTGCATTAACACAGGAGTTTTGGAGGGACAAGGAGTTTTGGAGGGACACATGTGTAAACCACAACAGAGGGGGTATTGGGTCCCTGGGCTCTTCCTTTCCCTCTTTCTTTGATTCTCAACAGCCACGAGGTAAGCAGCTTTGCTTCTCCATGTGCTCCCTGCTATGTTGTTCTGTCTTGTGACAGGCCCCCAAACCATGGAGCCAACTGACCATGAACTGAAACCTCTATTATAAGCCAAAATAAGTCTTTCCTCTCAACAAAATTTTTATCCTAGACATTTGGTGTCATAGTCACAGAAAACTGATGAACACACACACACACACACAAATAGCTTTTTTAATTGTTTAAGCCACTATATTTTTGAATACCACTGTTTAGCCTTTATCCTAATAAACCCTCATGTGCGTGGACTAACAAATAATGAATTCTTTAGGGTAAGCTCTGCAGACCTATGGAGTTCTCTCTATGTACAGTTCTCTCCTGTCTTGTACCTGGCCTTGCAATCTCAGTCCATCATGGCAACCCCACACTCCCATTTCACCTCTGCAGCTCAGGGAGATTGCCTGTCTCTGTCTTTATTTCTAACATGACCTGGAAATTTTCTCCAGGTGGTAAGTTAGGTGAATCACAGCATCCACCTTATCTATCTCTAAGGGATCTCTGCTCTTTACCTGGTGACCAATATTTTTAAAGATATTTTGTCTACTTTAGTTATTTCAGGTGAGAGCATAAATCTGGTCCTGTTATTCCATTTAGATTTAGGATTTGTAATCCATTTTGAAGAAGTTCTTCCATTAGAGGATTCACATTCTATATTTTTTTGTTCAACATAATATCATATGCATTACCTCTATTTTGTGGGGGAGGTTCTAGAAATTCCATAAACACCCCAACTAAAAAGTTGGCAAAGACACTGGGAGGGGTGGCATGTATCTGTAATCCCAGCTACTCGAGAGGCTGAGGCAGGAGGATCACAAGTCCTGGCAAGCACTGGCAAGTTTCAGGGCAGCCTTAGCAGCTTAGTGAGACCTTGTCTCAAAAAGTAAAACAGGACTAGCGATGTGCTAAGTGATTAAGTGCTCTTGGGTTTAATCCTTGGCACCAATAAACACAGTAATTAACCAAATAAGATAAAAAGGGCTGAGGGTGTAGCTTAGTGGCAAAACACTCCTGAGTTCCATTCCTAGACCTGGGGCAGGGTGGGGTTGGGGAAGAAAAATAAAAAGCAAAGGCTAGGAACAGGCAATTCATAAAAAAAATTGAAATTGCAAATATATATTCAAAAGACCATTATTCAACTAAAAAAGTTGAAATGAAAGCATTTTGAAGAACCTATCATATGAACAAATATGAAAAAGAATGCTTGGGATGATGAGGATTGGGAAACAGGTACGGTCATATTCTCATAAACTGAGGATAAAGACAAAAAATGTATACATCTTTATGGAAGGCAACCTGGGAAATTTACAAAATGTTAATTTTGCATTTTTCTTTTTTTTTTTCTTCCTGTCTTACTAGGGATTTAACCTGGGGTCACACATATACTAGGCAAGTGTGCTACCATGCTCAGCTTGGATACCTTTTTATTCACTATTTCTACTTAGATATTTTTTTTCCTGCAGAAATAACATATAAGTGTACAATGGTGAATATATAAAGATGAGCATCACAACACTGTTCCAAAAATCAAAACTTTGAAAATGGTAAATTGTTCATCTAAAGGAAGGGTCAGTTAAGTAAATTTGGTACATTTACATGTTAGATCACTGGCAGCTGCTAGAAAGAGCAAGGTCAAGATGTTTACTTTGTTTGAAAGTGAAAATAGCAGCTTTTACCACACCATGTCAAATATGATTTAATTTATGTAAATATTTTATATATAAAACATTAAAATCTTATAATGCTATTCATTAAAATGTTAACTGATACTATCTCTGGGGAGTGCTGTCTTTTGGGCTGACGATGAACGTGAAGGGAAGTTGTATTTTCACTTAGTCTTGGTAATGTTTGGCGTTTTTACAGTGTACGGAGGACTTTATAACTAGCAAAAATAGAGATTTAAATATCAACACCAGAACAAAGCAGACGAGATCCTCACATTTTAAAATGTTGGGAAATACTGGTTTATATAATCTACAAATTCCTTAATGTGTATAGCTGATGCTTCTAGGGTCTGGACTAATTTTAAGATTATTGACAAAAGTTGTAGAAGTTCCTGACTTTCTGTCTCCTGGCTGCTGCTGCCAAGACAAAAGTGAATTGTTTAGGTACACCTGGGACACTCCTCAAGGGGGACACCCTCTCACTGGCTCAAGCTCTTATTTTCCTCCCACTTCCAGTGACTTTACTCCTGGTTAGCACTCCTGAGCTGGTAAGGGGGACCTGCAGAAAAGCACTATGGTTTGTTTAGAAAGGCGGGGAATGGTCTGGGATTCTCATCACCTCTTCGGGGCTTGATATTGTCCAGAACTGGGTGGAGAGAATCACGAATTGACTTTTCATATACAGCTGGAGTTTTTTATTTCCAGAATTCAGGATATCACTTCATGGATGACTTACCATTCATTCAATAAGCACATATTATCTCAAACTAGATGACTGAACAATATTTTTCCCCAAAGTTCTTTTTCCTTGTTATCTTGATAAGCTTAATAACCTCAAAATTATTTTGAATGGCTTCCTCATAGTTTCCTTCATATGCTCAATTGCTTGTTAAATTCTGGTTCATTACAAGTTTATGAATCCCTACAAGAAATTACAGCTTCTTTCATAATGTCTCTCAGCTATTCTGTTAGTTTTTCTCAGTGTTATTTCCACTGCCTTTCTAATCCTGAATTTTAAAACTTCTTTCCTTCTAGATTTGTGTATTTTAATCAATGCTAAGTTGGTTTCAATTATCAGAAAATACGTGTTTTAAGTTCTTTTTGCACCTTCTTATGCTAAAAATTGAGTGGTATGTGTATGTTTGTTTGTGTGTGTGTGTGTGTGTGTGTGTGTGTGTGTGTGTGAGCGTGTCATGGTAATAGAAGAAAGAGCCCATGACTTGGAGTTACTCTTTTTTTTTAATTATTTTTTTTTTAGTTGTAGATGGTCACAATATCTTTATTTTATTTATTTGTTTTTATATGGTGCTGAGGATCGAACCCAGTGCCTCACAGGTGCTAGGCAAGTGCTTTACCACTGAGCTACAATCCCAGCCTTGGAGTTACTCTTTAAGTAGGAAGTTAATTACTATATTGATTGGCTTCAATCTGAACTAAAAATTTTTCTAAGGCTTGCATGCAAATCAATTGCCTTCTAGAGAAATTCAAAACATTTATCAATCCTAATTGCTTAGCTCACATTCCACACTGATTTCTGCTTATTTTCTCTTGTTCACCATCCCCAACTTTTATCCTCCTTTCCTTTGATTCATTCACACTAGAATGACCATTGTCTCCAACTGTCAAGGCCCAACTCCAATTGAAGTGCCTTTCAACTCCTAGTTTGGAGTTCTCCAGAAACTCCTTATGTTCCCTTTACCACCACCACCCATGCTACTACTTTTTTTTTTCTGATTCTCCCAGATAATT